GAAGTGCTCTGGGTTGTACTTCTGTCCGTGCTCGCTCACGTGATATCGCCTATCAATGCACATGCATAGCGCCTCCGCTAGCACTCCACCTGCAGGCCCTGCTCGTCGTTTGGGGGCCCATCGTAGGTATCGTATCTGTCCTGCCCGATCTTGGCGAATCTGATCTCGCAGGTCATCTGCGTGCAAGGATTCATACATGTGCGGCATAAAGGCGCGGTCTGCGATCCACTCCTGCCAATCAATCTTCTCGCATTGCATTCCTCCCAGCTTTGGCGGTCGGCTCAGTCCCTGATCCCACTGTGATTCTGTCATCCCTGTGCGCGGTGCGAACAAGTTGCGCTTCTTCGGTCGGTCCACGCCCTGTGTTGGCTAGCGCAACTCTGAGGCGGTGTAGCTCAGCGTGGCGGTGATGTTTCCACGCCTCTTTTGATCTGATCCACCAGCTTCTCAGTTTTCTCCGTCTTCTGTCGCCGTCGAAGCACCTGCAACTTCCGTGAGAGGGCCTTGAGCTGTTCCTCTATCTGATCGAACTCGGTGTAGCCATCGCCTATGTAACTTTTGCTGCCGGTGTGGTCCGCGTCGGCTCTGAGCTGTGATCGCTTCTCTAGCAATTGAATCCGCTGCTGTCGCATCTCGTCGTATCCTATGATGTCCTGTTCCTGCTTGGGAGAAATCTCCTGCATAGCTTCACGAATGTTGTTAGAAAGCATATCCCACCACTTTTGTACGTTGCCTTGATCCCATGTTTGCCGCCACTCCGTCTCGTGAATATGCTGGGTCTTCTCCTCAACTTTTTGTTAGGAACTCCAGGCGTTTGTATCCTCGTGTAAATACGATCATCATGAGGTCGCGGTTGGCGGGTGGCGTGAGCTTGCTGATGTGGGTCTTGGCGATATGCACGTCCATGTTCATGTAAATCGGCACGGGGTCGGTCAAATGCGTGGAGACGTGTAGCTGCAGCCGTTTTGCCAGTCCTAACAATGGGTTGATTTGGCGAACCCTGCACAGTGCTGTCGCTGGTATGGCAACGTGGTCTATCTTGCTTGTGTGGGCGCCTCTGTAGTAGGTGGGCACCGTCCGTCTGAAGGTGTCCGCGATCGCCAAGTGGTTGTCATCCAAAAATTCCCGCACTTGCGAACTGGTGGTGTTCTCTAGGGCGGGCTCTTCGATGCCGATGGACTCGGTGGCCTCTATGTATTTTCTCCCTGTCGTATCTCGTCGTATTCCAAAAGCGCAGTTGTAGTCACCCAGTATGATGGGGAGGCAATTGTGCCCCAGATTGTCCAGCTCGCCTTGAATCCACTTGAGAATATTTTTCGTGATGCCCTTGTGGGTGTTGACGGCCATGTCCCGCGGGGGTATATATGTAGGGAACAGCGCCACGTCTATTGTGCCCACGCTTACTGTAATCATGCCAATCCGTCCTGTGATGCCACTCTTCGTAGGGGGCGATACTACTCTCTGGATCCTGCCACTGAGCCGTTTATTCAGTAGTACTGCCAGTCCACATGAGTTGTTGACGCCAGCCGCCTTTCTCCACCCGAACTGGATACATTGGTGGTTCGGCAGCTGGCACTTCGTGTAATCATCGTCTCGCGCCGCCCTGCCCGTCCCTATGGCCACGTAGACGTCGATGTTGGCCGTCTGCATCGAAATCTCCTCGAGGCGGGTGTAGTCCGCCCACTGCACGTTGTGGTACACTATCTTCATGCTTCGTTCCTCGGCGGTGAAGCGGGTGTGGCACAGCACGCAATTAAAGAAGAAAATGGTAAGAAACATCAAATTCGGCGGGGGTACGGTAGCGGACTGCTGAGTGGGATTTCTCTGTTCCGCCCTGAGCGGCCCCGTCCCGTCGAGCGCCCTGTATTCCACACGTCAACGTTCTGTGGTGACTGTGTTTGGGGGTGGGCCGCTCGCGGGTGTCTGGGCCGTGGCGGCGGCTGAGGAGGAGGAGGAGGAGGAGGAGGAGGAGGAGGCATGTTTAACATGCCATGCCAGCCCGCACTGGACGGGCACGCAATCGTCCTTGGAAACCGCATTGGGTATAAAAACCCTGTTTGGGGATACTGCACTCCGGCTATCATGGGCCCCTGGCCCCGAGTTACAACAACAAGGATTCCCGTTCGCTACTTCATAACAGTGTCTTCCAAATCGCGTTCTCGCGCGGGACGTCCTCACAATTTGTTCAGACTCCGCGCCCTCGACATTCATGACTCACGCTTTCGCTATGACCTTTCTCATGATTTACTTGGGAATCGCGCTGTCGCTCGAGACTTCCTCGCGATTCACGCAGAAATCAGGCTTCAGCATCCCGCCTGCTTGACCTGGTCTCCTAGGCCCGCCTTCCCGACCCGCCCGCTAGGGTCTGCCCACACGATCTGCCCGTCTGGTCCTGACACGTGTTGTTCGCTCCTAGCTCCCTTCCTGATGATTCCGTGCTCCATTTGTCGCCTTTCCCCCCTCCATGAGTTCCCTCTTCCCCTGCTGCAGGGGCTGCACCAAGCACACGCGGCAGGTGAGCTACCCCCAAGGGGGGACGATCGAAGAGGAAGAGGCGGGTATCGAGGGCGGCTCGGGATATACGTGTTGAATGACACGCGAGCAGAACAGAGCGAAGAGTCTTGACCTGATTGTCGTTGTTGTTGTCGTGGTTGTTGATGTTGTTGTTGTTGTTGGTGCTGTTGTTGTTGGTGTTGAACTTGCTGCTTTTGATTATGTTGAATTCTCACGACTGAAGAATAATTGTTGTTGGTCCCCCCCTCAGGTGACCATGTTTTTTTCAAGTGATCTGCACCCCCCGGGGCTCGCACCCTGCTTCTTATCAGGGAATGTCACTAGGGTCAAACTGCGCTGTTGGCCCCCGAACTACAACAACAACGTCTCCTGCCGAATACTTCCTCACAATTGATTCCCAAATCGCACTCTCGCGTGGGACTTCCTCACAATTTGTTCTGGAATCGCGCTCTCGCGTGGGACTTCCTCTCAATTTATTCAGACGCCGCGCCCTCGACATTCAGGAGTCATGCTCTCGCTCTGGATTTCCTCACGATTGATATGGAAATCGAGCTGTCGCTCGAGACTTCCTCGCGATTCATGCAGGACGCACGCTTGAACAACCCGCCTGCTCGACCTGGCCGCCTGGGCCCTCCTTCCCGACCCGCCTGTTTTGGTGTGCCCGCTCGATCTGCCCGTCTGGTTATGCTGCGTGTTTCCTGCTCCTAGCCCGTTCTCCATCCTCCTCCCTCCCCCTTATCCTTCCTTCCATCTGTCCTCTCTTCGCTGCCTCAGGGGCTTCACGAGATAGACATTGCTGGTAAGAAGGATATACCCCAAGGGGGGACGATCGAAGACGAAGAGGGCGGGTACACGTGTTGAATGGTACGCGAGCAGATGAGGGCGAACAGTCTCAACGTGACTGCTGTTGTTGATGTTGTTGGTGTTGTAGTTGCGGTGTGGTTGTGGTTATTGTAATTGATTTCTCGCCCCCAAACAATAATTATTATTCCCACTGCCCGGTAAACATCGTGTTTGTTCGTTCAAGTACTTCTTGGGCTCGCCTCTTGTCTTTTACAAGTGGACGCGCGGTGTCACCAAACTGGACCCTTGGCCCCCGAGTCACAACAACAAGGGTTCCCGCCTAAGATCCCCTTTTCAAACGTATTCCCAAATCGCATTCTCGCGCGGGACTTTCTAACAAGTTATGCAGGAATCACGTTCTCGCGTTGGACTTCCCCTCACAATGTATTCAGACGCCGCGCCCTCGACATTCAGGAACCACGCTGTCGCCTTGGATGTCCTGACGATGTATTTTGGAATCGCGCTATCGCTCGAGACTTCCCCTCGATTCTCGCCTTCCTCCGCCTTTCTCCGACTCGAAGCGCTGATCCTCGCCCTTCTCCGCCTCGATCCGACTCTACTCTTCTCCTCCGGCGCCGCGCTGAGTTCCGCCCATGCCGCTCCGGCTGAAGTGCTGCCCCCACCCGCCGCCGGGGCTGGACATGCCGTCGCGTCGTCAGCTGGCGACGTCGGCACAGGTGCCAAAGCCCGCGAGCGGCCCAGCTCAGGAGCTCAGGCAAGGGAGCTCGTCGTAGTCGTTGTCGCCGTCGCCGCCGTTGTCTTCGTCGTCGTGGATCCGAGGATCAGCACGTCCGTCGACTCGAGTCGAACTTGAGTCGAACCTGAGTCGAACCTGAGTCAAACCTGAGTCGAAACTGAGTCGAACCTGAGCCGAACTGGAGTCGAACTAGATTTGACCAGATCTGTCAGGTGGGCCCCAGGAAGATCCCGAAACAAACAGCTACGCCACGATGGTAGGTGGGCCCTTCGAAGTTAGACTCCAGTCGATGGTCGGTGAGAGTTTTGAACTTCTGTGGCCCCGTGGCACCACCTGCCATCTCCCAAATCTGCTGCGCCGTGCCAGGGGCTCTTTGCGGGGCCGTCGGGATTGTACCTCTCGGTTTTTGAGGCACGGCTTGGAGCGAAAAGCATGCTCGGATCGCCAATTTTTTCGGACATCATTCAGAGGAAGAAAAGGTGCCCATCTTGCTACCCTTTCCCCGTTTTCCACTTTTTGGACCTTCTGGGAGGCCCTTGTCGCCACTGCTGGATTTGCCGCGACAGGGGAGCGAGGGACAGGAGCAATCCCGAAGCGCATAATGGGGCGTCAGTGGAGTCAGAGTTGGGAGCAGGCCAGGCAGGCCTTCAAGAGAGCGTAGTTATTCTTATTGTTGAATATGTGGGAGGGACGGGCGAACCATGCTACGTCCAAAGGGCGAGTCCAGAGAGAGGGGACGAGGGGGGGACGGCGGCGGGGGGGGTACGAGGAGGGAGCGGGTGGGGGAGGGACGCAGGACCGACGACAGGACGAGGGGGGAAGGATTGATACGAACGGAAGGGGAGGCAGCATAAAGAAGAAGGCGAGACGGGCCTGCTTCCAGCCAGACAAGACCACGTATTATTTCAGCGTTACGGACAGGGGTATGTGTGTGCTTACACGGGAACGTGAGGGTTATTGTTCGGGTGATGTTTTTTGTTGCCATTATCTATGCTCAAGCCTCTTCTTCTCTCGTCGGAGGCGCCGATGGCCCCGGCCGTCCGCGCGGCCAGGTCCCCGTTCGCGGTCCTCGCGGTGGGGCTCGCCTGGATCAGCTGGCGCGCGGCCGAGCTCGGCTGGGCGCCCGCTGGGCCGTGGCCTCCGCCGCCGCCGCCGCCGCCGCCTCCGCCCGCGGCTGCGCCGGCTGCCGAGGGCTGGTGCCCCGCGGGCGCGCCGGCCTGGCTGGAGGCGGTGTGCCCGCCGGCGCCGGAGTGCCCGGCCTGCCCCGCCTGCGCGTGCACGCAGGTGGAGTTGCCTGGGCACGTAGGCGGAGCTGCTGATCTGGCTCGTCGGCTCGCCGCTGCTGACCCACCTGATCGAGTACACGCTGAGCTGCTGGCGAAGGCGCGGCCGTACCGCTGCGGTAAGGCATGGCGCTCCTCCCGTTTCAGCGAGGAGGAGGCGTGGTACAATGATCCGGTGCCAGAACAGTACGTCTCGATGGAGTGTGCGGGTGACGAGGTCGACCAGGACAAGGGTACCCGAGTTCTTGAGATAGTAGTGCTAGTGAGTCGTCAGTCGATGAGATCCCTTCTGCGAGTGTCCCAGGCAACAGTTTTAATGAGACTTTTGAATGCCCACAATCCCCGAACCATTGTAACTGATTCGCTCCTGTCCAGGCTGCCCCTCGCTGCAGGTCCGTAGGCATTTTGGCCCAAGATCTACCACGTTCTCTTCGTATTTCTTCCGAGCCCACGGGCTGTTGCAGTCATGTCGGCCAGGAGGCAGCAGGCGAGCGTGCCGCCTGCAGAGCCTCGGCCGACCAGGAGCCGACGAGGTCACGCGTCTCTGGCCAACCAGCGGATGGCGACGCTCCGCCCGCTGGACGTCCAGCTGGCATTGCGCGATCGTCTGTGCTGCAATTCGCCAGGAGCTCGGCCTCCCGGAGAACAACGAGCAGATGAGCCGCGAGCCGGCGCTGGCCGTCGTCGGCGTGAGCAGCAACACCGACGACGAGGCGGGGCCCGGGCCCGGCGCCGCGCGGCGGGCAGTGCTGAGGCGCACGGGCCACCAGAGGCGACACAAATTGTTGACGCTTCGCGTATCCCCACCAGCCCATCCAGAAACGATGCTCAGGGGAGTTGAGGTGATCAGGGAAGTCGGGGAGCATGCAGAATAACAAAGGGCGGGGGAAGCTGTCACAGACCCCGAGAGGGGGAGGATGGAAGAGGAGTCGTCGTCGTCGTCGTCGTCGTCGAGGAGGAGGAGGAGGGGGAAGAGGAGGAGGAGGAGGAGGAGGAGGAGGACGGAGAAGGAGGAAGAATCGGAGGAGGAGGAGGAGGAGGGGAAGGAGCTTCTTGGGGGTCTTTTGAGGGCCTCTTGGAGGGCTTTTTGGGCGCCTTGGGGCATCTTGGGCGCCTCTTGGGACCCTCTTGAGGCGCTCTGGGGAGCCTTCGGGGCGCTTTTGGGGCCATCTTGGAGGGAGTCGATCAAACAAGAGGGGGGGTTTAATTAGCGTCCCCCCTCGGAAGCCCCTAAAATCGCCTCTTGGACCCCTCTTGGAACGCTCTTGGAGTGCTCTTGGGCGCTCTTGGGGCCGTCTTGGGGCTCTTTTGGGGCTCTCTTGGGGCCCTCTTGGGCCATCTTGGAGCCATCTCCAGGCCTCGGATGGCCATCGGAAGCGAAAAGGCGAGAAAGCAAAAATCATTGATTTTCCTTAGGTTTTGGGACGATTTTGGCCTCTTCGGGGCCTCCTTGGGGAGCTGTTTGGCCACTTGGAGTTATCTTGGGGCCGTCTTTGGGCTTCTTGGAACCATCTTAGGAGCCATCGTGAGCGATCTTGCGCTATCTTGAGCCATCTTGGAGCTCATCTTGGGTTCTCTGAGGCGCTCTTGGAGCCGTCTTGGGCCATCTTGGACGCTCTAACTACCCGCGGCCCCCCCCGTCCAGGTCCAGGGGAGGGGGTAGGGGGAGGGGTAAACCCCTCCCCAAGGGGGAAGAGGGAGGGGTGGAAGAGGATCTGCTCTAGACCACCTACGCCCAGAGGGCTGGTGGGATTCCTGGACCTCGCCCTCGCGACCGCCGTGCTGGGAGCGAACACCTTCCTCGAGCAGAGTTCGGTGACTCCGGAGGTGCTGGAGCGCTACCACACCGAGGTCGGCGGCTTCATCGGCTTCGCGGGCGGTCGCCCACTGGTGCGCGACGAGCAGGTAGACGCCACGCTGGTAGACAACCTCAACTTCTTGCGCTTCAAGGGTTGGGATGCGAACGAGGGTGAGCAGGTCCTGGCTGGCTTGGTGTGCCTGGCGCCAGAGTTCTCGCGGGCTGGTGGCCGCCAATTCCCCCGGGCCTGTCGCTACCTGAAGAGATGGCGGCGCCGGGCGCCGGGTCGCAGTCGGCGGAGGTGGCCGCTGGCCCTGCGCGCTGGCTCAGCCTGGCGGCTGGTGGAGCGGGGATCGTTGCAGGTGGCTGGCTGTGCCCCCTGTATCCCTCAGCATTTGCTTGAGGCCGAACGAACTGATGGGCCTGGGTCGCCGTGGTGTCACCCATCCTGGAACATGCTCCTCTTCTCTTCGCAGCACGCGGAGCTAGCAAGGCAGATCTCAGCGATGTCAGTCTAGTGCTGAACTCCCCATACCTGCAGCTTCTAGGACCGATCCTGAGAGCGTTGGCCGTTGGGCCACGGGGGGAGTCGTTCTGAACGTTTACGCACCCGCAGTGCCTGACGGAGTCCAGAGCTGCGCTGGCCGAGCTCGAGATCGGCGAGACCATCTGGCCGTATCAGACGAGGCGCTCGGGCTCGTCGATCGACATCGCGCGTCGCCACCGCATTGTCGGACGCTCAGCGCCGCGGCCAGTGGGCAAGAGAGAAGATTTTCCAGCGGTGCGAGAAGGATGCCAGGCTGGGAGAGAGCTGGGAAGTGCTGTCAGCTCCCGCGCGGGGGCTGCTCGAGGCCTGCTCAGCAGTGCTCCAGGACATACCCCTGGGCAGGTCGCACGGCGCGACGCTCCCCTGGCGGGCCACTTCAGGGGTCGGTGCGTCTTCGACCTCTATTCGGGCACCGCGGGGGTCGCTCGAGCGGCGGTCCAGTGCAGCGCTCGCGCGTTCGATCGCGCCCGCGGACCGGCAGAGGACCTGGCCACCGATAGAGTGCTGAGTCGGCTGGGCGCTGCGATACGCCGAGGCGAAGCGTTGGGTGCTGCGTTGGGCCCGCCGTGCGATGCCTGGGGGGTCGCCGCGGATCGCGGGCGGCGTGGCCCGATTCCCTCTGCGGAAGAGCCCCGGGGGCTGCCCGAGTCCCGCCTCGCGTCTCGCCAGTGCGACAGGTTCAGGCGAGGCGATGCATTGTTTAGATGTGCTTTGCGTATTCTTCGAGTGTTGTGTCGAAGAAGGGTTCCGACCATTCTAGAACACCCGGTCATTTCGCGAATCTGGCACACGCCCGAGCTTGTGAGTTTCACGCAGCGGTATAGGGGACACACCAGAGTTTTTGACCAGTGTCAGGTTGGGCGAAGTTGGCGGAAGCGCACGGAGCTGGCTTTCTTTTTCATAGATACAGCAGACACCGCAAAATGCCATCGTAGATGCAAGGGCAGCCTGGGTTTGTGTAGTCGCACAAGCCGTAAGGATTTCGTCTTAGAAGGGGGCGGCGCCATCAGGCGTCAAATGGACAGCCATCGCAGCCTCCTCCCCTCCAGTTCTGTGTAAGGCCATGGTCCAATCGCTTCTTTCGCATGAGCGCGATCGGATCGCTACTCTAGCTTCTGGCTGACGCTGGCCTTCTGCCCCGCCAGATTTTTGCAATGCGCGTGTTTTTGTTATTGTTGCCCTGTCCCGCCCGTCCCTTGGAACCTTCAGGCTTGGGTAGCCGTTCTCGGGTTTGGGATGTCTTGAGCGGGGGCCCTCTTACCTCCCAGGCCCCCGCCAGTCCGTGCACTGACCGGCTGGCGCCCAGGTCGCGTCAACGCGTGGCACCTTGTAGCAGAAATTGTCCCCGCGAGAAACATGCAACACTTGTGTGTGCTTGCACGGGAAGGTGAGGGGTATTGTTCGGGTGATGTCTCCTGTTGCCATAATCTATGCTCAAGCCTCTTCTTCGCTCTTCCCTCCCTCCCTTGGACCTCTGTCTCTTTTTGGGATGTCTTGAGCGGGAGCCTTCTTACGTTTCAGGCTCCCGCCAGTCTGTGCACTGACCGGCTGGCGCCCAGGTTGCGTCGACGCGCGGCACCTTGTAGCAGAAATTGCCCCCACGAGAAAACTACAACAGCACCTATTACTACATCGCGCATCAGATACCACACATTTGTTTATTTATTGCAATGGCGTGCCATAGATTCTTTGCTGCCTGTGGCGAGCGGGAGGGGGCCGCGGCCACCCGTGCTCAAGCCTTTCATCCAGCGAGCTGGGGGCACCTGTCCAGGCAGAGGCGCGGATGGTTGGCAAGCCGTTCGTGTGGCTCCTGGGCGCCGCCACCAACCTGCTGGCGGCCTGGATCTCGCGTGCGCCGCCGTGCCCCGCGGTCCCTTCGTGCCCAGCCTCGCCGACGTGCCCGTCGGTGTCTTGCCCGAACCTCTCGTGTGGGGAGGTCCACTGCCGTGCTGCGGAGGAGCAGCTGATCTGCCCGGCGGCGCCCCCTGCGCCGCCCCCGCCGCCGGCGGCGCCCGCGGCGCCACCGGCACCCGAGCCGGCGGCAGCGCCGGCGGAGCTGCCTTCGAGTTCTTTCTGGAGCTGGGCGGCGCTGCTGTTGGGCCACGTGGTCCTGGCCACGATACAGCTCTGGCGCGGCATCGTCAGTCTCGTGAAGGGCCTCGTGTGCCGTCGCCATGGCCGCCACAGTGCCGCCACCGCCCGGCGTCCTGCGCTGGGCTTGGGTGCTGTATCGAGGAGAGCGGCTCTGGCACCAGCGGAGGGTCTGGGGCAGATTGGCGGATCCAGCAGCGGGGAGCAGTGACCCGCTGGACCTCCTGATCTCTAGTGCTGACCATGACGTGTACGAGGAGCGGTACAGTCGGGGCAATCCTGATATCGCCACTGTGGTCTTCAGCCCGACTCGCCAGGCGCTCCAGGGTGTGGACCCGAACCTACTCTACCGCTTCAGGCGGGAGCTGAACGGGCGCGAGACGGTCGCCATTCAGGACGCTCTCATTCAGGTGGCGGACGAGCTGTACTTGGATCGAGAGCGCGCCGCTGGCCGACCGCGCGTGCTCCCAGCGGGCGGCTCTTACGTGGAGTTCGATTTCGCTGCTGCTGCCCCTGGGCCAGGCGTCCCTGGCGCAGGCCCTGCCGCCCTCGTGCCCGCGGGTGGAGGCGCCGCTGGCGCGGCGCCTGCTGCGCCCCTGGCGATCGTGGCCGACGCCGGCGCCGCCGCTGTCCCTGCAGCGGGCCTCGCGGCTGGCGCAGCCGTGCCTGTTGCCGGCGCCCCAGCGGGCGCCGCTGGCGGTCCGCCGCCGGCTGAGGCAGGCGTGGCTGGACCGCCTGGGGGGCCGACCCCGGCCTGGGTGCTCATCGAGAGCACTGGTGGAGGCAATCGGGGCGACGTGGTGCAGCTCAACGGGACCGAGCGGATTGAAGGGGACATCGGACTCATCCAGCTGAACGCGGGCTGGGTCGCCATCCGTCGGATCTCGATGGACCCTTCGGTGTATCGGTGCGCCGAGAGCGGGGCGGACATCAGGCTGCTGGGCGTGCCGCCTCGGCCTGACGGCTCCAGGCAGCGTCTGGCGTGGCGCGACGCGGTGCCGATGATGGTGGAGAACATCATCCCTGGGTGGCTGCTCGACGGTCCTCGCACCATGCTGTGGTGCGCCCAGTTCATCGACAGGAAGAGGGGCGGCCCCGTGGAGCACTACAACAGCTTCGTGTCCTTCTACCACCTCACGAAGGAGGACTACGGGGTCGCCCACTACGAGAACATCATGAAGATGATAGAGCACCTCGCGTGCTGGGATCAGGTGAACCTCCCCGACCTGGTCGGGGCGGAGCTGGCCATTCGACAGGCGCAGCTCTACGAGTACATCTACTCCATGGAGTTCGAGGCTCAGCAGTCGAGGGGCTCCAAGGACGGCAACGACGGCGACGGCAAGAAGAGGGGCCGAGGGCGTGGAGGAGGGCTTCACCGATTCGGCATCGTGGACGAAGCTGCGGTGTTTACCGGGGCGGCCAAGGAGGACGGCCGCTCGATGATTGCCCGCTACTACTGGAGCATGTCTCCAAGCAGGTGGAGCGCGACGCAGGGATCCTGAAGCAGATCAGGAAGGCCCGAGAGGAGCGTCGCGCTCTGTCATCATGAGCTACGCGGACGGCTTCTGGGAGCCCCTCGCCCAGGAGCCTGCCAGGTCGAGAGAGGGGGCGCCCGTGGGCCTCGCGGGTGCAGCAGATCTACCTGTACATGAGGCTTCCAACTCCAGCGCCGATCTTCGCCAGCGTGATCTCTTTCCTTTGCCCCACTTTGGCGCTGGGGCCCCATCTCCTTCTACACCTACCCTGCCATCGAGGTCAGTGCGCAGGCGCCTTGAGAAGCGGTCCCACGTTCACGGCATGGTCGACGAGATGACCGACGCGCTGAACGAGCTTTGGGGCTGCCCGCCGGCGGCGCGCCGTCAAGCGCCCGCCGGCACGTCGGCGCCTGCAGCTGGCCACGCCCTCGTCCTCTCGGAGCTCCGCCAGGCCGCGTTGAGGTTTGGCCCGTGCCCGGAAGGCTTGGACGGTCCAGGAGCCCTTGAGGAGCTCCGGATATCTCAATCATACGAGGGTGACGCCACGTTGGTTGCCCCGGTGAGCTTCGACCTCGTCGACTCCATCTCATTGCCTCCTGCTGGTAGCCGACCCGCCGCCCTGGAGACGATCGACGAGATGGCAGGCCAGAATATCGCTCATCGGTTGAAAGAGTTACTCCTGCCCCGACAGCTGGGGTTGGAGCGCATCAGAGAGGCAGGTCCGAGACGACTCTACACGGATCCAGCCCTCCGCAACCCGCGCCTCTACTCGATGGTGGTGCGGCGACTTTTGGACGCCGGGCTGGTTGACTTCTACAGCTCGGCGGAGTGTTACGTTGGCATGTTCTTCGTGCGCAAGAAGAACGGGTCGCTGCGGATGATCCTCGATGGGCGCCGTGCATCCCTCAGGTTCGCGCCTGCCGACTCCGTGGAGCTGGCGGCGGGCTCTGCATTCGCTCAGATTTCGGTCGACGGCGACGAGCCCATCAGCATCGGGGGCGTCGACATCTGCGACGCCTTCTACCAGATCGAGCTTCCGTCGTGGCTTCGCCGCTACTTTGGCTTGCCCAGGCTGAAGGCTGGCGACCTCGGACTCACGCACCTGTCCGATGGGTCGGCGGTGCGGCCGTCGTCCTGGGTCGTGCCGTGCTTCAGGTGCCCGCCGATGGGCTGGAGCATCAGCCTGTGGATCTGCCAGAGTTTGAACGAGGCGGTGACTGCTCGGGCCCTTCCTGGCCACTTTGGCCGTCGTCTCGTGGACCGTCGGCCCGCGCCTGACCTGCAGCAAGGTATGGCGCACACGGTCTACGTTGACAACTTCATCGCCCTCTCCCACACGTTGAGCGAGGTACACGACGCGGCTGCGGTAGTGCAGAAGGAGCTGACGGCTTCAAGCCTGCCCACTCACCCAGTGGAGGCATCAGTCGGCGGCGACACGCTGGGCTGGCATTTCGACGAGGACAAGCCCGTGATCGGTCTCAGCGTCCGCCTCCGCTGGCGTCTTCGTCTGGGTATCGGCGAGCTGCTGGAGCGAGGCTGGTGCAGTGGCCACACCATGATGAAGGTGATATCTCACTTCACGTCGAGGGCGCTAATTCGCCGCGAGCTGCTGAGCTGCCTGGGGGCCGTATACGGCTTCATGGGGGACGGCGGCCGCGAGAGGCGGCGGCTGACTCCGGCAGTGAGGCGAGAGCTGACCTGGTGCCGCGCGCTGCTGCCCCTGTGCTTCCGAGACGCCGGGCGGCCGCTTTCGCCAGTCGTATCTTGCGTGGACGCATCGTGGTGGGGTGCAGGAGTGACTGAGAAGACCATCACCCCAGATCAAGTCCGTCGACTGTCTATCTTCAACGAGCGATGGAGGTTCAGTCGTGATGGAGAGCAGCAGGTCGCCCCGCGGGACAAGGCCTTGGCCCGGGAGAGCAAGCAAGCTGAGCATATCACCACATCATGCATCAAGCACGCCTCGTCGCAGCACGATCGAGATCCAGCAGTCATAGCAGCAGCCATGGAGCAGCGTTTCCCCTTCCGAGTCGAGCCGAAGCTTAATCGTGAGGAGGAGGTCATGTTCGAGGAGGTGCCGGAGGTGGTTTGGGCGGATGGATGGCATCGGGCTTTGTCTACACCATGGACCAGGAGGGAGGCACAGGTGGTATTGGAGGGGAGAGCGCTAGTCCTATGCTTGAAGCACCGATTGCGAGCCGCTCGAAATTTCAACACCACGCACATCATCTTGAATGACTCCATGGCTCCAGTGTTGGCGTTGCTCAAAGGCAGATCATCGTCGCCCCCGCTTTTGCGGATTTGTCGCCAGGCCTGCGCCCTCCTGTTAGCCTCGGGGTCTTCGGCAGTCTGGCGTTGGGTCCCATCCGAGCACAACAGCGCCGACCCTGCCTCTCGTGCCCAGGCTGGTGATATCCCCGAAGCCGTGCGGGCCAAGGCATCAGGGCCTGCCGCGCCCGGTGCGCCGGCCCAGGCGGCAGCTCTCCGACGCGATGGCGGCGCCGCTGTCGATGTCGGCCCTCGGCTGCATGGCGGTGCCGTCTGCGCCGGCTCTGCGGTCTCGCAAGCGGCCAGCGGCTGCTGTGGCGGCGGCCGCTGCCAGCCAGTCGCGGCGCAGGCCGCGCGTGGCGTCAGAGACAGTGGCGCGCCCAGCCGAGAGCGACCGCCGGGCTGTTCGCCGGCAGGAGAGGGCGAGCCGCTTCCCTGCACTCCCGCCCTCGGCCCCCCGCCGGGGCTTGACCTTCCTGGAGGAGCAGTCAGTGGGGGATGCGACCAGGGCGGACTACGAGCGCCGGCACGCTGCCTTCAGCCTGTGGGCCTGCCAGCGGGGCCACTCCTTGGGGACGCCGACGGAGGTGGACAAGACACTTGTGCTGTTTTTTCACGAGGAGTTCTTGGACGGGGGCGAGAGCAGCGACGCCTGGAAGCTGATGGCGGCCCTCGCTTTCGTGCGCCCGGACCTCGGACCGCGCCAGGGCCGCCTGCCGCGGGCGGCACGGGCTGCCAAGGGCTGGTCGCGCCTGGCACCGCCGCGGTCGCGCCTGCCGCTCCCTTGGCCCGTGGTGTGCCTCATCGTGGAGGTCCTGTGCCGCAGGGGCCTGGCCATGTATGCATGGCTGACCGCGCTCACGTTCGGCCTGTACTTGAGGCTGCGAGAGGCGCTGGAGCTCGTGCAGGCCCAGCTCATCCCACCAGGGTTCACCTCAGCCACAACGATGCACCATTGGTGCGTGGTCCTCCATCTGTTCGAGAGGCAGACCCCGTCCAAGACAGGTGTGTTCGACGAGAGCTTGCTGGTGGACTCGACCTGTTTTCCATGGATGCCGCACCTCGTCCAGGAGCTGCACCGCCGCACGCCCGCAGGCCACCGCCTGTTCCCAGTCACCTACGCGCAGTGGAACTACCACTTCAAGGCCGCCGTCTCCGACCTCGGCCTGCAGGTCCTGGGCAACCTGACGCTGCACCAGCTGCGGCACGGCGGCGCGAGCCCCGAGCTGTACGCGGCGGCGCGGCCCCTCCGCGACATCCAGAAGCGCGGCAGGTGGTCCACCGATGCCGCGCTCCGGCGCTACGCCAAGGGCGGCCGCGCGCAGGAGCAGCTGCACCGCCTCCCGCGCGCCCTGCAGCTCCAAGCCGAGCAGGCGTTCCGCGGGATTGGCGCCACCCTGTCGGCGAGCTGGCTTCGTGGGTGAGGCGCGCCAGGGCCGGCGTCTTCCTGGAAGTCTTCAGCGGCTCTGGGCGGATGTCCGCGGCATGGCGCTTGCGCTTCCGGTCGCAGCATGCCGCTTTCGAGCTGGACATTCGCCGCGACACCGACAGCGACCTCCTCCGTAAGCGCATCAGGCAGCTGGTGAGGGGCTGGGTGCGGAGTCGGCTCATTGCCGCAATCTGGATTGCGACGCCCTGCCAGTCGATGAGCCGTGCCCGCAACCGGCCCAACGGGCCACCGCCCCTTCGGACGAAACAGTTCCCGCTGGGGTTGCCAGGCCTGTCGCCGGGAGACCAGCTCAAGGTTGAGAGAGGAAATACGCTTGCCACTTTTAGCTTCTCTCTCTTTTTGCTAGCGCGCAGTTTGAACATACCAGTTGTAATTGAGAACCCTAGCACCTCTTGGTTGTGGCAGCTCCCAGGTGCAATCCATCTCAGTCGCATTCGTAACACTCGCATTGTAGACTTTGATTTTTGTGCGTTCTCGACCGCGTGGCGAAAGCGCACTCGGCTCGTATATTGCCATCTCAACCTCGACCCTCTCTTACCGTGTAAATGTTCGGGTCGTGGTGTCTGCAGCTTCAGCCGCCGCCCCCATCAGATCCTCGAAGGCAAAGACGCCTCAGGCACCTTCTGGACGCACATTGCAGAACCGTATCCCAAAGACTTGTGTAGGCTGGTAGTTAAGTGTTTCCAACAGGCTTTGCGAAACCACTCGTTTCGTAGCCTGGACAGGTTTGTGTTGGCCTAAGGCCAGGGTTTCAAAATTCGGTGTTGCTCGAGTTTTTAGATTTCGGATCGTGATTGTCTCGGGACTCGTTTTCCTTGGTCGAGGTGCCTCGCCCAGCCAGTCAATGTCGCACGGAGCTCCGGGTCGAGTCATCACACAGAGTTGCGGATGCAAAACAGTCCTGGCCCCCGAGAGTCTCCCCGGCTTGCACAGATTGCAATGGCGTGCCATAGATTCTTTGCTGCCTGTGGCGAGCGGGAGGGGGCCGCGGCCACCCGTGCTCAAGCCTCCCACCCACGCTGCGCTCCCACCCATTTTCAGCTCGAGCAGTGTCCGTTGGATCGTGATTGTCTCGGGACTCGTTTTCCTTGGTCGAGGTGCCTCGCCCAGCCAGTCAATGTCGCACGGAGCTCCGGGTCGAGTCATCACACAGAGTTGCGGATGCAAAACAGTCCTGGCCCCCGAGAGTCTCCCCGGCTTGCACAGATGTATTTATGTATTGTTTCATTCATTTATTTATTTACATATTTTTATATATATATATATATATATATATAATTCGCGTTGTAGGTATCATCATCGCCATCATGTGCAACACCGTATGTTACATACGTTACGACTACGTCAACAACGTTTCAGACAAGGTATTACATGCACAACGTTACCAGCAAGGTACGTTGTCTACGGTGGGATTTCCCTACTGACTGGCCCCGCCGCTCTACCAACTTCCTTTTGCTCGAAGGGCCCAGGCGGAGTATGACTGCGGGTGCCCCCTCCCCCCTCTTTTACCCCTTTCTCCGGACGGGACCGTCTCCGTGCAGCTGTCGTGCCTCGGGGCGCGTGGCGGGCGCGGGGGCGTTTGGGTGACGCGTCAGCGGTTGCGAGAGAGAGGGAGAGAGGAACAGGAGGAAAAGAAGGAGGAGGAGGAGGAGGAACAGAAGAAGGATGAGGATAAGGAAGTGGATGGGGAGGGCCGATGAGCAGGAGTAGCAGGGGGGAGGGGCATGACGTGGCGAGCGTGGGAACACTCGCACTCTCTGGGTCGCGATCCCCCGTCCCTTGCCGCCAGAGTTTCTCATTGGGGTGGCTGCAGCGAGCTCCCTGGGAGGTGCTCTCCTTGCGGCCCGGCCCGGCAGGAGGCCCCACCGACGTACTCGCCCCCGCCGCGGAAGGAGACCTGGGCGACCCCCAGTGGTCCTGCGAAGGCGGCACCGAACCAGGCTCCAGGCTTCCTGGATGAGGTCCGAGGAGGGGCTCGGAGGATCGTGCCGTATCGTCGCTGCACCGGCGATGCGGCGCGATGTGCGATTTTCTCCACTGGCGTCGCCGATGCATCGCCGATGTCGCCGAGGCATCGCCGAGGCATCGGCGATGCGTCGTCGATGTCTCGGCAATACGGCGCGATCCTCCGACCCCCTCTGCTCCGACCCATCTAGGAGGCCTCCAAAGGCGCCTCCCTTTGAGCGGGAGGCCCCGCCGACGCGTGACGCGCCCTGGCATCCCCAGGGCCGTTCCCGCGGGAGGGCGGTCCCGAACAGGGCGCCTCCCTCCGCGGCTCGGGCGGCCCCGCCGCCAGGCTCGCCGCCTCGGCAGGAGGGCTCCTGCCAGCCTCACGGCAGCCCGAGCATTCGGTAGCAAATCATGGGAGTTTGGCGTACCCAGGGAATTCCGTCTTTTCGACCAGGCTCGATCAGCGCCTGGGGGTCGATGAGATGGCGCCGATTTAGCGTCGATTACCGTCGGTTAGCGTCGATTGGCGTCGACCCGCAAGAGCCGACGAGACGGTACGGGAGGCTCCCACGAGTTGCCACCGAACGAGCAGGAGGGCAGCCCCGAACATGGCGGCTCCCTCCACGTCTTCGCGGCAGGGTCTGCTGCAGACCGGGCAGAGGGGTCGGGGCGGCGCGAGGGCGGGTCGGTTTTTTGGTCGGGGTTGGTTGGGGGTTTTGGTCGTGAGGTTTTCACGAGGTTGTGCTTCGGTATCGTTTAACCGATCCCCATCCCCATCCCCATCCCCTTCGAGACCCCCACCACATTACACATTACCACTCCAGTTCGGGATGCACCCCTCGAAACCCGAAGGGAGCAACCTATATCCCGATCTAGGGAGGTACATCGACCAGTGGGGCTCAGGCCACGCAGCTGGGGATGGGGATCGGTTAAACGATACTCATTGAGGGTTTTGGTCGTGAGGTTTTCGCGAGGTTGTGTGTTGACGGGCAGGGAGCGACTGGTGTCCTTCACCGCTCTCTTGCCCTTGAGATGCCTTCACATCAGGCGGGCACAGGGTGTCGCCGAGCGCGTTCCGCTACTCGCAAAGTGCCTGCTCGCAAACGTCAAAACACATATCCTCCTCAATGTAATGTATTGTAAATCCACCGCGGCGGGCCCAGTCCATCTGCGAGTTGTAACTTTGCGAGTAGTGGAACGCGCTCGTCCACGGTGGGACCGTGCAACGGTGGGACCGTCCAGAAACGACAACGGATGCAACACGTATCCCTGGAAATGCCCCGGGGTCGAGGACCAGTGCCCGTCAGGACCCGTCTATCCTTAGGTCGGGCCTGTCCATCTACAGGAGGAATTTTCAAACATAGGCAACAAATAGCCTTGGGACGATGTTTAGACTATGTTTGGCTATGTTTGAATATTTGAGGGTATAAACAATCGTCCAAGTGCCCCGTGTAGGGGGACATCCCCGACCTCAGCAAGCTCAGAGGTTGATAGACCTCCTACCCTGACACGTCGATTAAGGAATTGGCTGGTTTCGGTTCGCGAGATGGCGTCGCGGCCGTCACTTTTTGCGGGTCCGGGTCCGTCGGTTTCGGTCCCAGGCCGTTTTCATTAATGGTTAGGTTTACCAAAGGGTGGTCTGTCCACCGCCGACGAGCTGAGCGTACGGCTCCGCCGTCGCCGTCCTCGCGCCGCCGCCCGCCGCCTCCCCCGGGCGTCACTGTGCGACACGGTCTCTGCACAGCACCTTCCGCGTGTGATCCGAGCGCGCCCGCGTGTGGTGCCGCCGCCAGCCCCCCCCCCCATCCCCCTTTGGGAAGGCGTCCCAAGGCTGGCAGGAGCTAGGGGGAGGAGGAGGAGGAGGAGGAGGAGGAGGAGGAGGAGGAGGAGGAGGAGGAGGAGGAGGAGGAGGAGGAGGAGGAGGGGGGACGAGGGACGAGAAGAAGATATTGATGATCAAGGGTTCTGGACGCTTTTTTGTTGCTCCCTTTGGGCCTCTGGATGCCTCCAGGGATTCCCAGGAACAGGGTGCAGAAGAATGTGTTCCCCTCCCCCTTCTATTCAGGAGGGAACAACAACTCACAGGCACAACTAATCGTCGATTCCCATTAGAGTATGAGAAAATATAGGAAGTGGGGGGGAAGACGAACATCAAGAACATAATTGAACACATTGGGAATCCTGGGATTTGTGTCTGCTTCTTTCTGTGTCCCTGGGCCCCCTCATATGTGCCTGCCTGTTCTTGGTAGGTGGGGCGGGGAGGGGGAAAAAGGGGGGGAGGAGGGGCCGCGGAGCAGGGAGCAGGAGGACTTTGGGAGTTTGGGCATCGCCCCTCCTTCTCACTACTGGGGTTCAGAAGCTTCTTGATTGCATCGGGGACGAGGAGGGGGAGCAGGAGGAGGACCACTAGGAAGAGGAGGAGTAGGAACCACGAGGAGGAGAGGGAAGGAGGAATGCAAGGGAGAGGCGGGAGGAACGAGGATAGCTCCAAAGCAGTCACAGGACGGATTTTGTGTAGATCAGTCCTTCTCTTCCTCATCTTCTCCGCCTCCTCCTTTCTCTTGCTGGGGGTGGCAGGCTGGCTGATAGCGTTTGGGAAATGTAGCGGGGAGGAGGAGGAGGAGGAGAAGGAGGAGGAGGAGGAGGAGGAGGAGGAGGAGGAGGAGGAGGGGGGGACAGGTTGTGAGAATGGGAGGGGGATGAGAAGAGGGAGTATGGTGGGAAGGGTGCGGAGTGTGGAAGAGGAGAAGTCGGGGGAAGGAGGACGGAAGTGGAAGGATGGTGAGGGGGAGGTGAAAGCGAGGGCGGAGAAGGATGATAACGGGGTGCGAGGAGGAATAAGGGAAAGAGGAGGCGGAGGTGGAGGCGGAGGAGTGAGCATTTGGAAACACGTGGAGGGGCGATGAGGGACGAAGTGGAGGGCGGCGACGGCGGGGAGACCGCGTGCCAACTGTGGAGGCATGCGCGGTCTGCGGTGGTCTGCGGGTGTCCCTGGGGCCTCGCACAGCCATGCGCGAGGTTTCGGCCCAGAAGGCATGCCAAGCAATGGGAGGAGGAAAAAAGGTATCAATTCTGTCACCCTTCCCCCGTTCGCCTTGTTTTGGGCCTCCCAGGATGCCCTCGTCGCCACCGCTGGATTCGCTGCGGAATCCTGGTCAGAGCGCGACCCAGGAGAGGTTCAGGGAGTATCGGTGCATTTCAGGAGGGGAAAAACACACACAGACACAATGAATCGTCGATTCCCTAGGAAGTCTGGGAAAATGTTGGAAGTGGGGGGGAAGACAAAAACACAGAAGATATATGAACATGTGGGGGATCCGGTTATTTGTGTGTATTTATTTGTGTGCCCAGGGCCCCTTCAGCATTGTGGGTTCCCCAAGCTTGGCGTGCCCAACCTCGCCATCGCGCGACCAGCGCCGGCGGATCTCCCAGAGGCTCCCCCAGGCCTCGCTTGGCCCCGCCAGTATGAGTGGTGTCGGCGGCGCGCCCAGAGTTCAAGCAGTGGCGAAGCGTCCTGGCTCGCGTATAGGCCCACCAAACAATGTTCTAATAACCTTTTGTGGTCTCCACGAAATGTTCTTAGACAATTTCTGTCCGGGGCTGTCTTGTTTTAACACCTCGGGTTTATGTTCTAAGAACCGTGTTGTAGTTCTTAGACCGTTTTTGGGTTCTAAGAACATGTCGTGGTAGGCCTATAGGAATGCCGGGACGGTCGGTCCCTGCTCAACGCCTGGCCCCGCCAGCATGAGTGGTATCGTCTGCGCGCCCAGAGTGGGGGGGCAGATCCGGGCGGGCCTCAAAAGGCTGAGAAGGGCTCCAGCCTTCCGAAAAGTAGTCTGAGCCTGCCCCCCTCTCGTTTGCGCTCCTCGGCGCGCGGCAGGTGAGAGGTGGCATCGCCTACCGCTTCGCGGAGCACCTCTTTGGGGAGGAGAGAGGGACTCGGCGGGAGTTTGGGGCAGTTTTCGGCCTCTGGGGGCTGGTTCCCAGACGTGCAACGTCTTGAACAAATCAGGGAGCCCTCGCCGGGCCGCTGGACTGGACAAGCGGATCGGGACAATGAGCCGGCCCTGAGCAAAGGGTCAAGACTTCTCGGGACCGCGTGTTGAGAACATGCAGACATCGCACGCCTGGGCTTCGGTCTCCGGGACAGTCAAACATCGACCCAGTAGGGGGTCGGGCTTTGCGCTTGGGGGGCCTGCATCCTGACACGTCGATTAGCGAATTGGCCGTGTTCGGTTCGCGAGAGGGCGTCGCGACCGTAGTTCTCGCAGGCCAGGTCCGTCGGTTTCGGTCCCAGGCCTTTTTCACTAAAGGGAGGTTATTAAGGGAGGTTAGTCCACCGCCGAGGGCGGAAGACGTCTACCACCGTCGGCTCCCTCGTCTGCTGTGAGAGCGCGGCGCCCGTGTGGCACAAGGGAAGCCCCTTGTAGCCTTCGGCCCCTTCCGCCACAGTGCCTGAGGCGTGGGCCAGAGGCGTGCTGGATGCCTGTATGGGGTATCGTGCGATGCCTCTCGGGGGTCTCTTGGTGGTTTCTTGTCTCCCTCTCCAGGGCCTCATGTGACATCTGAGGGTACTCTGGGGGCCTCTTCGGGTCGTCTTGAGAGCTTCCTGGTCGTCTCTGGATCCATGTTCGGAAAACAGCTTCAAACACAAATTAGGTTTCCCCCTCTTGGGCAACAGTTGGGGAGGGGGCCGGCCTTCTTCGCGGGGGCTTCTCACTAGGCTTCCTAGCCTTCTGTGGGTACGTGTCAGAAGCTTCTCGGAGAGAACCTCTCAGAAGGTCCGCCTTCTCCGAAGGCCCGTCTCATCTCCCTTCTAACCCCGGCCGTTCCCCCAAGAGACGGAGGCGAGATTGAGGGAGGGAGGGAGGTCGTGCACGGGGATTTCCTGTTGTGCTCTCGCGCGCGTGCTCGCCGTCCGGCTGGACGGATTGTCGGACGTCGACCGTTTCTTCCGCCCGCCGCGCGCGGTCAAGGTGGGTGGGGCTGGGGCCGTGCGCCTCGGCTGCGTTGAATTATTTTACGGGCGGTCTCGAATACCATAGCCCTTTCGCAGTTTGTTGTGCCTCAAATGCGGGGACCCTCGCCGCGGCCACCATGCCGATCTGCTCCTCTGCCTGCGGCCAATCGGCTGACGTCTCTCTCTCTCTCTTTCTTTTCTCTCTCTCTCTCTCTCTCCCGTTCTATGTGTACATCATACGTGTATGTAGACATCCGTGCCCTCGCTGTCTGAATTCCGAGCCGCTACCTCATTCATGCGCGATCCCACGGATCCGCTCAGTGCGGGGCATGCGCGCCAGGCCGCCCCGTGTCCACTGGGTTCGCGGACGAGGAGTCCAGAGCGCCAGGCCGTGGACGTGGATATATGTTCGTCGCCTGCCAGTCGTTTCCTCCCCAGACCTCCAAGGTCTCGAAACAATCAAGGCATCGGATTTTCGGTTTTGCCGACCCCTCGGGTCCGTCGGGAAGCGGCCCAGGATGAGGGGGTTGTTCTTTGGAAGCGCTCGTGCACTCAGGGATCCCACACAGAAAAGAAGCAACGACCTGGGATGTTGGGAGGAGGAGGAGGGGGGGGGAGGAGGAGGAGGAGGAGGAGGAGGAGGAGGAGGAGGAGGAGGAGGAGGAGGAGGAGGAGGAGGAGGAGGAGGAGGGAGGAGGAGGAGGAGGAGGAGGAGGAGGAGGAGGAGGAGGAGGAGGAGGAGGAGGAGGAGGAGGAGGGAGGAGGGAGGAGGAGGGGGAGGAGGAGGGAGGAGGGAGGCGGGAGGGGAGGAGGGAGGGGAGGAGCAGGAGGAGGAGGAGGAGGAGGAGAAGCTGGCGCCACGACTTTTCGGTCCGCGGCTTCTCCCTCTCGCTTGACCCATTACCCCTCGATGTGACTGCGACTCGTCTCCTTCCCGAGACCCAATCTGATGGTTTCCAAGCGCGCAGGACTGCCGTGCAGCACGCCCTGGGTCTCTCTATCCTGCCATGCCCCCCTGGGCCCAGCCCCCTTCTCCGTCCCTCCTCCACCTCCCCTTCCCCCCCACCCCCCCTCCTCCCCCCTTCCCCCCGCCTCTCTGGAGCTCCGCTGGAGGGGTCCCCGTCTCCAGAGAGGCCCTGAAGCATTGGCAGGCTTCAGGAAGCTTCCCAGCCTCCCAGAGAGGGCAAGCCAGTTCTCAAAACTCCACGCTTCTCCTCCCGCCCTCCTCGAGGTCGCCCTCTCGGGCATCCTCAAATTCGGGGACGAAGGAGCAGGCCCTGCAGCGGCAGAGAGGATATTGGCCTGGTGGTCGCGCCGAGGATCTCCTCCAATGCTTTTGGTCTGCCGGGCGGATGCTGGCAGAGGCGACAATTGTGTAGATGCTGTCCCGCAGGTTTGCGCCGATCCACGAGAAGTGGGAGGATGAGGAGTTGGACGAGGAGGTGGAGCGTGAAACGATGGGAAAGGGAAATGAGGAGGGCCAACGTGTGAATCACAGTGACGGGACAGTGCAAAGAAGAAGGGTGGCGGTGGTGGTAATGAGGATGATGAGGAGGAGGACGAGGAGGAGGAGGTGAGGGATGAGGATACGGATGATGAGTTGAGGGGCGGGAGAAGGGAGGATGGCAGAGTAGGTGGAGCAGGATGCATCAGGCAGGGGAGAAAGGAGAACGTGGGGAGGGGGGAGCACAGGAGGACGACCAGGATAAGGGAGGCAGATGCAGATGCGGAAGCAGAGGTGTGGGGCGACGTTAGACGTCAGTGGAGGCGAGTGCAGGGTGGCAGGGAGATGAGGGACCTGCAGTATGATGAGTTGTTGCTGATGAGGATGATGATGGTGATGGTGAGACTGATGATGATGACGATGTTGCTGACGATGATGTTGATGCTGATGATGGTGGTTATGATGCTGATGATGCCCAGGCTGATATTGATGCTGATGGTAGTGTGGGATGATGATGATGATGATGATGCTGATGTTGTTGATGCTGTGGTGATGATGATGCTGATGGTGATGATGATGCTGATGATGAATATGATGATGATGATGATGCTGATGTTGATGGAGATGTTGCTGCTGATGACGATAATGATGGTGATGGTGATTATGTTGATGGTGATGATGTTGATGGTGACGGTGGTGATGATGATGCTGGTGGTTGTAAGGATGCTGATGATGAATCTGATGATGTTACTGATGCTGATGCTGATGTTGACGATGATGCTGATGATGATGACGACGACGATGATGATGCTGCTGCTGATGAAGATAACGATGATGAGGCAGACGAGGATGGGATAGGAGGGGTAGGATAATTAGGAGGGCCAGATCGTCGGAAGAGGAAATGGGAGACCGAGGGATCGGAGGGAGGGGGAGGGACATGATTGTAGAAAGAGGTATGGGGATGAGGGGGGAGAGAAGAGAGAATAGGGAGCAGGAGGAAGACCAGACCGTCCCAAGGGCCTCTCTTCTTGAGCTCCCTACCACTATCGTTTGTGCACTGCGAGAGACGCCCCCCCCCCTGTATGGCGATCGCCCGGTGCAGGCGAGACCATGTTCCGTAAAGGTTCAATCGTCCATTCTTTCAGGGAGTGACGAATCGCGCAGAGGTTCGGTCTTGGTTCTGTTCTTAGCGTGTATGTAATCTCGGGTCTTGCGACACCGACGTTGTTGGCACGCTAAGCAGCGCAGGGGCGTACACGCTAAGCAGCGCAGGGCCGTACACAGTAAGTGCGGAGCACGTATAGGCGCATGTCCAACTACACGCTAAGAATAGGGCCATGACCGTAGGACCAGTCCAAACAAGTGTTCAGCGACAGCGTCGTTTTGAAAACGTTACGCCTTCCATGTGGGAATTCTTTACGTTTCGCGTATCCCCACCAGCCCATCTCATAACAGCACGTCTTGCGAAGCATGCCGACAGTTGTGTTTATCAGGCGTGTGTCCCCGTGGCCCCGCATATCGCCCCTGTCCTCTTTCGTCCCGCCTCCTTGTGCATCCTTTATGCGGGGGGAGCGGGAGTTTGGGGGGAGCGGGAGAAAGACGAGGCGCAGGAGGAGGGAGAGAAAGCGGTGGGAGGCAAGAGGGACTTAGCGGAGACGACGACCTCAGGAATGATCGGAACATCGACGACGCACCCGACGACGACGACGATGTCGACCGCAAGGTCGGCGACGATCACAACCGCGACGACGACGACGACGACGACGTCGACGACGACGACGACGACGACGAGGAAGGCGGCGGCGACGACGACGACGACGATGACGACGACGACGTCGGCGACGACGACGACGACGATGACGACGACGACTGGTGGGCGTCGTTGGGTGCCGTCGTTGTGTGAGCCGGAGGAGGTGGAGGGAGCGAAGGGGTTGGGAGGCAAGACAGAGGGCGGTCGTCGTCGAGTCCAGCGATCTCTCCCGTCCAGTGTTGTCGTTGTTGCCATTCTGGCTCACAGTATGTCAGTGTAGCTGTGAGCTTTGCTCCGCCCACGATCACGCGTGCTTCAGTATGCCAGCAGCATATATGGTATACATACTGTGTGTAGACGTGCATGTATATAGTCAGCTGTATTTTATGTCGGTATACATACGTATACATATATATATACATATATATACATATATATATATACATGTATATATAGTACGGACGCAGTTGAGAGTCCATGGTGGGCGGGGGGTCTGGCCCGCGGCCCAGGGCGGGGTTCGGGACTCGTGGACGGGACCCGGGGCCTCATCATCGTAGGATGCTCATCATTACCCTCATCGCTATGATGCTGGGGGAGGAGGAGGACAGTTACCAACTGCGCGTTGGCGACACCGCCGCCCCCCCGCGCCCGTTGGCGCCCCCGCAGTGCGGCTGCGGGAGGAACTGGGCCTCAATTCGTCCTGAGGCGGCCTGGAGGAATGTTTCAGTTTTGGCTTCTGGGACAGACGCCCGAGCGGTCCACTTTTTTGGGGGGGGCTGGCGGTTCACGGGGGACGAGGTGACCACCATCATCCCCCTTGCCGCGTCCGCCTTCTCTCGACGGCGATGACGACGATTGCCCGCGTTCTGGCTGAAGAGCGGGTGTCACAGCTCATTTCACAGCAGCAACTCTCGCGAAGCATGCCGACCGTGGCGTTTGTCAAGCGTGTGTCCGCAGGGCCCCTTTCTATCGCCCCTGTTCCTCCTTCCTCTTGCCTCGGTGCACATTTTCTTTGTGGGGGGAGCGGGAGAAGGACGAGGCGAAGGAGCAGGGAGAGAAAGCGTTCCTCGTGGTTTGAGTCGTTGGGGGTGCTTTGCCTGGTCTGAGTCGTTCGGGCCCTTCTTCCTGGTGTGAGTCGTTCGGGGTCTTCGTGGCGTGAGTCGTTCGGGCTCCTCGTCCTGGTGTGAGTCGTTCGGGCTTCACGTGGTGTGTGTTGTTCGGGCCCGTCCTTTGGTGTGAGCCGTTCGGGCCCCTCCTCCCTGTGCGAGTCGTTCGGGGCATCGTGGTGTGAGTCGTTCGGGGCCCGCGTCGCGGTGTGAGTCCTTCGGGCTCGTCGTGGTGGTGTCAGTCGTTCGGGCGCCTCGTCCTGGTGTGAGCGGTTCGGGCCCCTCCTTGTGGCGCCAGTCCTTCGGCCTTTCCGTGGTGTGAGGCAGAGCAGCAGTAGTGCGATGAGTAGTAGCAGGAGTAGTTGTAGGCGACTTCCTAGTAGGAGTAGAAGTAGTAGTGGGAGTAATCACACTAGGAGACGTCGTAGTAGTCGGAGTAGGAGTCGTTGTAGTACATGGCTGAGGGTCGACGTCGTCGAAACCAGCGATCTTTCCCGACCAGCGCTGTTGTCCTTGCTACCCTGGCTTTTAGTATTGGAGTGTGGCTGTGAGCTTCGCTCCGCCTATTTGTAACGCACGCGCTTCCTGTGTTTTTGTTGGCACGAGGTGGCTTGCGTGCGCAAATGCCGCACGTGGCCGAGCACCGCTACGAGATCTTCATGTTTGCATCTCCTGTGAGTGCCATTCTTCTCCAGTCGCCCCGCGTTCGTGTCAGCAGGTCGTCGTGGCGGTTAGCGTTCGGTGACCTGCGGGCACGGCGGTGAGCGCGACATGTCTCAGAGACTGGCTACTTTTGAGAGCTTCGTGGCAAAATCCATCGTCATTGCAACAACAGAGCATTGATTTCCCTTCATCTATACACGCATGTATCCAATACAGAAACACGCAGAAATCGTCGGCGGTCCGACACACACCACGAATGCACAGACAGACATGCACAGAAGTTTAACGTTGTCCTTTGCCTCTTCCCAGCGTCCAGGGGCCTGGGGTCTAGTTTTCTGGCGTTGCAGGTGTTCCGAGTGTCAGGGGATAGTATCGGGGGGCCTTTCCGTGTGTGTGACACGTTCGGGATCGCCGTGCAAGGAGTCGTGGCCTCTGGTAGAATTGAAATTGGTCGTCTCGCTCTTGGTCTTCTCCCTCTTTTTCCTTTTTAGGTGTTTGTCGCGCGGTCACGCAGGTTTTCACCTGCGTGGTTCGGGCCAGTGCCGATAGCTACGGAGCGCTCAGGAGTGCCCCAGCGTTGTCGTCGCTGTTGCCACTTTGGCGTACAGCATTGCTGTTCGGCTGTGAGCTTAGCTCCGCCCATGAGCACAAGATCCTTTGTCTAAGTTTCCTTGCTGTCGGCATGGGGAGGTGCTGGTACGCCCTGATACTTTGCCTTGCATAAGGGGCCCTTTGGAGCGAGGAGGGCGAGGAGTTGTTCAGGCTCGTCGTGGTGTCCGTCGTGCAGGCCCGTCGCCCTGGTGCGAGTCGTTTGGGTTCGTGCGTGTGTGTGAGTCGATCGGGTTTCTCGCGGCGTGAGCATTTCGGGCTATTGGGGCTAGTGGGAGTCGATCGGGCCTTTCCGTGTATGTGAGACGTTCGGGATCGTCCTGCAAGGAGTCGCGACCCCTGGTAGAACTGAAATGAGTCGTTCCGCTCTTCGTCTTCGTCCTCGTTTTCCTTCTCGGAAGTCTTGTCGTGGGCTGACGCAGGTGTTCACGTGCGTTGTTCTGGCCATTTCCGAAGGCTACGGAGCGCCCAGGAGTGCCCCAGCGGTGTCGTTTATTGTAGTCACTTTGGTTTACCGCATGGCGGTTCGGCTGTGAGCTTAGCTCCGCCCATGAGCACAAGCCTTTTTCTCTAGGTTTCCTTGCTGTCGGCATGGAGAGGTGCTGGTCCGCCCTGTTCATTTGGAGCGAAGAGGGCGAGGAGTCGGTGATCATGCTCTTTGTGGTGGCAAGTTCCGGTCGTCTCCGCACTGCCGTCGCCCAGCAGACATGGCGGAGTGTTTGCCGCTAGAGCTAGTTCTGCACCTCCACCGGCACGCCGCCAGAGCACTGGTGTTCACGAAGTAGGCTGTTGCGGTCACAGTCGCCCACATTACGAAGAAGCCGATGCAGGATAGCAGCGGTGACCTCA